TTTTTTTTTTTTTTTTTTTTTTTTGTAGTCAGCCACGATATCCGGAGCTATGCTCCAACTAATCCGTTGATCGACATGGGTCGCACACCTAGCAGTGTGGGTTAATATTACATTAAACAATAAATCAAATCAAATTTACTCACACTATAAAGATTTTTAAAAAAAAAAAAAAAACGTGAAGAAACTTGGTTTAAAGGAACTCAAACCACCCAACGTTTTAGTATCAACATATTCACAATCACAAACGCGCTGCACAAGAAGATAAACCCCATAGACATTTGAAACCAAAGCCAAACAGTCAAAGTAAATCCCTCGGTCAACCCTCCCAGCTTATTCCTTGCCCTGTCCCGCCATGTGCTTCCCGCCCTTCCCAATCCACGACCCCACAGCCCTCTTCAGCCGGCCCACGACCCACCCACCGGAGCTCCCACCACCGCCGGCCGCCACATATTCCTCCGCCGCCGCCGCCTGGCCCACCACCGCCTTCTTCCCCTGCAACTTCCCCAAAATTGCCTCAGACAATGCCCTGTCCTCCTCCCCGGGCCTCAGTTTCTCCGCCAAGTACTCCTTCACCGACACCCCTCTTCCGCCACCCCCTTCCTCCGCCGCCGCACACCCGGCGGATTTTCCGGTTATAGTGTCGCGGGGCATGGACTCTGTTTCGGCTCGACCAAAACTTTTTGGCAGCTCCTCCGAGTCTCGGGTTGAGCCGACCGGGTTTGACTCGGGAACGAACTCGCCCGCGGTGGGAGTTGGCTGAGGGGCAAACTGGCCGTGGCTCCCGGTGTAAGATTCATTTTCCGGTGCCGGGATATGAAGTCTATCCAAGCGCTCGACGAGTGGGGCAACCTCCGCTTCTGCTCCTCCTGCCCACAGCCACAATACTCGATCAAATGTGCAAATGTCAAATTAATTTCACTTTTTACTCACGTAATCAATTAATAAGTCACACCCACACAAAAATTTGTGATTAAATTCATATTAGTAGCTAGTTAGTTACCTTCACCCTTGAGGTCAGTGACTTTGGACTGATAATTTGAAGGATGGATTTTTCCAGGATGGCTCTTTATGGAATGCGGGTCCTCCTCCAAACCCGTTGGACGACTGATCTGGACCGTTGGTTCTGCCACGTCAACTTCTTCCACAAAATCCGTACCCATTTTGCCAGGATTCTCATCTTCGGGCTTGCGGGCTCCAGCTCGTGATTCTAAACCATCCTCCACAGTCAACATTTCATGGCCGGTCAACACTTTATCCGGGTTGACCTCGGTTTGAACCGGTAGAGCCGTCCCGGGTATAACCGGAGTTCCATCAACTAGGAACATGATGAAAAATTAAAATGGAAATCTAACTAATCGATTAACTGCAGGTCTTCTTATTTGCCTGCATACACTAACTAGCTACGAAATCGAAAATGATACAATAATATCAATTAACGAAAGAATCAAATCAAAAATTTATAGGACTAATCAATTAACGGTAAGATTAGCTATTGACTGGGAGATGCTCTGATCCCGTTACTAAAAATTCCGTCGAGGTTTGTAACCGTTTAATATTCCTAACAGTTACATGGTGATCTAAAAGATACAAACTCCGACAGAATCACTAACGAGACCGTAACATTTTCCTCAATTAACTATAGGTCTTCTATTTGTTTGTATAATGGTTAAATAGTCATGATCCTATATAATTTCATAATCAAACAACATAACTATAAAATTAAATATACACACTTGCAATTATTAGAATATTAAATTATTAGAATATTAATTTGTGACTTGTTCTACATCGTTTATATAAAAAAATTATGTCTAATTTATAAGTTTAATGAACTACTACATCCAACAACCAATTGTGAAAAGAGAAATAGTCCATTAAACTATAAATTAGGCTAGTAGTCCATTAAACTATAAATTATACTCACAAGTGAATATAGCAATAATAAACTTTAATTTCAAATGTAATGAAGAGAGTGCAAAACCAGTATCGTGAAGATCGTCCTCTTTGTTGTGATGATGGCCGTGCATTTGTGCTTCCATGTTTATGTTTCGAGTGACTACTTTAGCTAGTAAATTGGGTAATCCACATGTTTATATGAATCGGAAGTTAGAGATAAGAAGAGATGAATAAATTAATCATCCAGCTTTGCATTGAGATGGCAGTTCTGGGGACGCACACGTGTCAGTGTGCATCCGCTTCAAGCCACGTGTCCTTGGAAACATGTGTAAAGATTTTGATAAGGCAAGAAATTATGGCAAAGGCTCAAGGCTATTTTTCTTTTTATTTTCAAAAGAATTTTAGGTAAGTAAAATGGTAAAGCTCCGTTACAAAATCATTCTGTTGTGGATAACTTTATCATTAAATTATGAGTAAGTTGTAATTTAGTCATTTATGTTTTATTACCATAACTTTTTTCGTCCTTTTTGAATTACATTTTTTTTATTTTCGTCCCTTATATTTGCAAAAAAATAATAAAAATGTCTTTTTTCATATATAAGGGTCGAAATTGGAATTTTTTTTTTTTTTGCAATACATAAAAGACTTTTTTACTGCGAAAATGATTATTTTGTAATACTTTTGCAAACATACGAGACGAAAATAAAAAAACGTAATTCAAAGAGGACAAAAAAATTAAACAGTGAAACACACAAGATTAAAATTACAATTTAGTCTTAAATCACACAGCAAATCCAAAGTAAAGTATCCGAAAGTTTCTTACATGAAAAAAGTGGCAAATTTGTAATTGTATTCCTATTAGATTGTATAAAAAAAAAAAAAAATGGCCACTTTTTCTACTCACTTTTGTTGAAAAGATGGCAGACGCATTCTGCTCCAATCGCCCTCACCTTTACCGCTGATCTGAAGTCCCCCAGCGACCCACAATTTCCCCAATTTCCACACCACAGTCTTCAAGTTCCCAAAAAATAAAATAAAATAAAAACATTCAGCTAAATTCTTCGCGCCGCCGTAATATTCGAAGCTCAGCCAGCTGATCAACTGCTTCAGACGCCCAGCCACGCAGAGTTTCATCATTTATCCTGTGATCGTATGAATCTTCAATCTATTTGTTGGGTTATATGCTTTTATTAACTGTCAGAGATTTTTATTTTTTTTTCTAAATCTGGGTTGTGTTATGCTTCGATCTTGTTTCTTTTGATGTCTTAGCTCTTACTGCATACTTTAGGTGGAGTTAAAGATCAATTGATTTCGTTATATTCCCTTTTTGTCTGTGTGTTTAATGCTTTCGTGAATAATGGGAATGGGCTTATTCATATGCCCTTTTCGTTATTGTGCTTTGATGGTTGTGATGTTTGGATCTTGATTTTGGAGTGGAGAATGAAGAGGATTTGAAGTGTATCACAGTAAAGGTAAGGGAGATATGAAACCAATATTTGGTATATCGAAATTTGTTGGTGAGCAGGCCATTAATTTGTTAGATTTAATATAGAACTGCAATAGCTCGGGTCATAACATGAAACAAAATGGGAAAGCTAAAAATAATTGATTGGTATAACGTACGGACGGAGTTCATCTTCTTTTCTAGCACCAACTTTTTAGAAACTACAGAGTTTGGTGTGCTTGCTTTGGAGCAATGTGGTGTGGGTGACCTCTAAAAAAGTTTTTTCGAGAATGTTTGAGTGAGACCAAAGTTTGCGGAAAAACTCGTATTGGTAAATTTGGGACCACTGTCAAGTCTCTAGAGTCGGATTGTATATTAGTTAGATTTGAATAAATCGTTTTTGTTATCCGTCTAGATTATCTAGAAATCATATTCCCAGCAAAAACGAACAGACTTCCAAAATGTCACGCAACCAAGCAACTACTTCCGTTTGAGTATTTTATTCTTATTACCTCCTTGCTGAAGTTCCCTTCCCCTTCTTTGTCAGCCACATTTGTCTTATGAGCATTCTATGAGAAACTTCCAGTGATCAATGGAACGCTTACATATGCGCTGTTTGCCTGAAATATACTCCCAGCCGACCCAAACTATTTTAAAGCACTCCTCATAGATTAGGAAACATCATAAACCTACCTATTTTCTACTTAAAGTTTTTACTACTCATACTTGCAATGATGAAGTTAGTTGATGAAGGATAAACAAGTGCAAGTTGTTTAGAAAATGGCAAATTGAGTCTTGAATCGACAATTGATCATTCGATATTCATAGAACTGAAACAAAAATAGTTCTTGGATGGAGGGAGTTTCGTGTTTTTGCTTCATGTAGCCCCTGTGAAGGGTTTTGTTTCTAGAAGATAATATCTAATTATTTCTAACGATGCGCTTCTTTTTTCCTTTACATCTGTCCCCAAAAACGAAAAGGTTATTAATCAAGGATGGCCCTAGTAACTACAGCTGAAGTCTGTGACGCGAACCCACAGCTCATCGTGAGCGGCGAGCTTCGAGCCCTTCAACCGTGTTTCCAAATTTACGGCAGGCGGCAAGTATTCTCCGGGCCCGTCGTGACTCTCAAAGTCTTCGAGGACAATGTTTTGGTGCGCGAGTTTCTCGAGGAGAGGGGCAACGGGCGAGTCCTTGTTGTCGATGGTGGTGGTAGCATGAGGTGTGCCATACTTGGCGGGAACCCGGTCGTGCAGGCCCAGAATAACGGGTGGGCCGGCATAATAGTCAACGGCTGCATAAGGGACGTTGATGAGATCAATGGCTGTGATATTGGGGTTCGTGCACTGGCCTCTCACCCTGTGAAAGCTAGCAAGAAGGGTATTGGGGAGAAGCATGTTCCGGTGAGTATTGCCGGGACACGGATATCTGACGGGGAGTGGCTCTATGCGGATACAGATGGTATTTTGGTCTCGAAGACTGAGTTGTCCGTTTGAGAGAATGA